TATTCTGGTACTCTGCTGCCTGATCCAGTGGGTCAGTACGCAGCGTAATCCACTTCCAAAACTTTTCCTGCTGTGTGGATTTCAAACTTCTCGGAGTTAGAAAGTGACAGTAGACGTCACGACCATTTCATTGTCTCTGATTGGTTGTTTACAACGTACTGTTTGGAGTTGTAGAACGTATTGCGTCTGCGCGAAACTCGGATTTTTATGGCTGCAGTTCATTTTTGGGGCCAAATGACATGGGATTTAGCATGAAGGTAGAGTGACCGAATACCCCCAGGCGCTTAAAAATTTTTTTTTTGATACAGGCTTTTAAAATCGTTTTTATTTCTTTTACGGTTTTCCTTGGATGTGTGATCAACGTTGCATCAGAATTTTGCCCGTTGGAGACGATATCTTTCCCGACACAACATCTACTGAAAACTATAGACGGAATATCAACCTTAGATACGCGAATACAACATTGAAAGAGAGACGTTCTGCCGAAGCGCTGTGTACAATAGCATAAGGGTCTCGTGCATGCGCAATACGTTCTGCCGAATGGCCGTGACCATATCAACATTTTTGAACATCTCGCGAGATATGAACATCTCGCGATAGTTTGTTTGTTTGTTACGTATCAGGAATGGAGGTGGAAATATCTAGAAATTTTGGCACATGTCATCGAAATTACTCGAAAAGAGATTATCCTTTCAACGCAAAGAACTGCGACTGAAAAAGTTTTCTAAGCAAGTTGGTCGACATAATTCTTAACCTTCGTACATATTTGTCCCCTAAATACATGATCCTCATTTCAGATTCCAGTATCATTTGGGCCGCAAGGCTGCTTTCTAAGCCAACAAAATAGCAATAGACCGGCCTTTCCCGAAAAGGCCAGTCACCTTTGGAAAATGAGTCAGTAGATTTATTGATTTCCGTAAGCCCTTTGAAACCACGCGAGGATTTCAAAATGACCCCGATCAAATTCGGAATGTTTACATTAAAATATTTCCATGTCTTAACATGGATGGTCAATCATAACAAGTCTTCTTCATATGTGTTGATTTTGTATGTACTTTTTTAATAAATGAGACAGCAAAACATAACACCACCACCGCATCTACATGGACTACGCACCGGGGCTGAGCGATATCCACAATTGGGTACGGCGAAAAAGTACAGGGTACGGCACGAATTACCGCCGGGTACGGATTGAAATTTTCGCGGGTACGGCACGAATTTCCGGGTACGGCCAGAATTTTTGAGCGGGTACATGCCCGTAGCCAGGATTTTGAATGGGGGGGTTCTTCCCACTGCTTGAGGGGACCTCGAGCGCCGAAGGCGCGAGGTTCCTAGGGGGGTCCGGGGGCATGCTCCCCCGGAAAATTTTGAAAAATGAACCTTCTAAAATGGCATTTCGTGCATTTTTGAGAGGATTTCCAAGAAAAAAATCAAAGATAATTTTTATTCAATGGCAAAGGGAGCAGTTTTTCTACGATTCCAGTCCATCTTTTCAAGAAAAATCTTGGGCCTTTACATAAAACGTGGACCAAAAAGTGGACCTTTACATA